GACAACTAACCGCACCGACCACGCGAGACACGCCGGCCACATCTCGCTCGAACGACGCTACCACGGCCGGACTGCCATCGTCGACCGCCTCGTCCAAGCCTTCCGGCCACCTCCCCTTCATCCCGCCATCGGATCTCCTCAGTGCTCCCCCGCTTCTCACAGCTTCGTCCCTCGGACTCGTCCCATCCATGGCAGGGTCTCCAACTGCGAACACGGCCAACCTCACTGCGCAATCATCCGCTCCGCCAACGCGTCCCTCAATATCAGCGCATCCCCCGTCGAAGACTCCATGCACACTGGCCTCAATGGCTGATGCATCCCCAGATCCACTCTACGACGCACGCCGTCTGGACCCACCTCCCACAGCAGATTGTCGTCAAACGGGACGCCGGCGTCGATTAGTATGTTGTGGAGGATGCAGACGGCGACGAATTGTTGCGGCAAGCTGTCCATGTTGCACTTGTGGGTGCGGAGGAACAACCTCCACATCCCCTTCAGTCTGCCAAACGCCCTCTCCACTGCTCCCCTGGTCGTCTTTTGTTTGTTGTCGAAGCGTGCCTTCGTCGGGTGTTGCGCGAGACCGCCGTAAGGGACGACTATCCATTCCGATTGCGGATAACCGTTGTCGCCGAGCAAGTAGCCATTAGTCCGCACACCGAAAGGCAGCATCACAGGCGGCCCAGTGAAAAGTTGTCCTGACTCCGCGCGCACCCACAAACTCGACAGGTTCAGCATCCTCATGTCATGCACACTCCCCGGATAACCGACGAAGACGTCCAGCACACGCAAGTTCATGTCGACCACCACTTGCGCCTGCACGGAGAAACGACGTCTCCTGTCGCAGTAGTCCTCACCGTTGGCGTTCGCGGGTTTGTCGATGTAGATATGTGTGCAGTCGATGCACCCATGGCAGTTTGGAAACCCCTTGTCCGCGAAGGCGCGCAACACGACCGCCTTCTGCAAACCTGTGGGCCATGATATCTTGTCGGGGCAAGCAGTCAGCAACGCCGCCGTGACGTCATGCACCATCGTGATGCCGGAAGCCCTCACGATGCCGAAGCTACACGTCCCGCTGTCGTACGTCTCCCCCGTGGCCCACCTGTACAGTGCATAGGCAATGATGTGGTCTGGCTGCAAAGGCACCCTGTAGAACGTCACACGGCGTTGAAGGAGTGGGGAAAGAGTCTCCTGGATCTCGCGGAAAACACGAGGCGACATTCGAAGCTTCTCCTTGAAGTAATCATCCGTTGCGTCATCACATTGCCGCAGATCCTCCCACGTGCCGCCCGTTCGCCGCTTCACCCACCACCGTGGAGTCGCCCATGGAAACCCCCCGCACCCCATCGCGTAGCAGACCTCCAGCACCGCGTCGGAAATGGCAGCCACATCCAAGCACTGGGCAGTCGTCGGAAGCGCCAACAGCTTGCGCCGTGCACGAATAGCCGCTTTGAAGTTCGCGTCATTGCTCGCCATCTGGCAGTGGACGAGGACGGCATTAACCGCCGCAGCAATAGTCGTCCTCTCCGCCGTCGTCAAACCGCCGCGCCCTGCCCCGCCGTCAACGTCCATCCCAGACGCCGCTTCCGATGACATCACGTCAATCAAACCACTGGACTCCACAAACACCGCCACGCGGAAGATCACAGCGTCGGTGGCTGTGCAATATCTTGGGAGCCACGCAGTGACGATGGTCGTCTGCCTTTCCCAACGCTCACGTATCGTCGTCGTCTCCCTTGCCGACAATCGTCACTTATTGCGAACGCCAAGAACGCCAGCCGCAGACGCTACCAGGCGTGAAACGTACGTCCACCACGCACCGCCGATCACAAAGCCTGATTTCGAATTTCAAATTTTGAACAGGAGCGCTGCGCGCCATTTCCAAGGGCCCCGATTTTGTTTTTTTCTCGTTTCCCGCCCTCCTTCGAATTCGCGACGGCCAACAAAGGTGGACCAGCGCAGTCCGCACGGACACAACTCGGTGGACCGCCGTCAGCCCCACCCCCGCGTCGGCTTGTGCATATATAAATCGGGGCCGCGGGAACCCTGAGGAATCGTCCTCGGGGGTCGACTCCGAGGATGAGTGGAACGAAGGCGACAATTTCCTCGGGCGACTCCGAGGAATCGTCCTCGGGGCCCGAGGACGCCCCGAGGAGTGTCGAACAAGCCCCTTACACTTACCTGGGTAAGGTTGTAAGATACACGGAAGGATGGAACCCAGAGCATACCATAGCCTAGCCTAGTCTGTACGAGCATATCGAACACTCATACAGCATGTCTACTTCTCAACATATGTATAGGGACGCTGGACCCCTTTTCCAGCAGGTGACGCCCCCCACCTAATGTCCTCACAAATCACAACTCACAACTCACAACTCTTTTTTTTTATTTTTTTTTTTTTTTTTTTTTTTCAAAGGGACAACGGCCTTGAGATGTTATCATCGAACTGACCGGCCCTAGGTAATTCAGAATTGTAGTACTTCACTCGTCTGCTTCCAGTGGAGTTTGAACTCTGGTCTGTATTTCAACAGTTCATGGGTGCACCGACTGAGTTAGGCCAGTTGGTGGGAGGTAGCTGGGAGTTTTCATTTTAAACCGCCAGCCGCCNTTGATCCAAAGGCCCTTGTACAAGACCTCTATCCAAGGGCCCTTGTACAAGACCTCTATCCTGGTGGTGGTAACAGAACCACCGGGATTGAGGCTTTGCCTAGCGGGCCGCTCCATCTATTGGTGGGGAGCTACACCTGCTGGAAACCGGGTCCAGYGTCCCATGATTACATCGTTGCCACACAGTACATCAATGAGAGTGACGCCAGCGTGCTGGAAACCGGGTCCAGCGTCCCATATCCACTCTACTCTTCCTTGCCTAACCTGCAGCAGGGTCGGGTATTGGGGGGGGACCACCGGGGGGCACCAGTGGAGACTCCCTCCATCCCCTAGCCTCTKCCATCCACCCACTATCCTCATGGCGCCCATTGTACTCTGCAATAGCATTAATACTAAAGAATACTGAAGAAAACTGAAAATTTCTGAAAGTTTTATGGGGAGCCTAACCTGCTGGGAACCGGCCCCAGCGTCCCATGAATATTTTTGTGCACAACAGTACCCCTCCCCTAGCTCCTGCGCTCCACCTACGGTCCTCATGGCGTCCCTTTTTTGTCGGGCCGCTCCACCAGCGTCCCTTAAATACATCTTGTTGCATAATGCCATAGTGAGAGTGACGTCAGAGTGCTGGAAACCGGGTCCAGCGTCCCATATCCATTCTACTCCATTCTGCTCTGCCCTACCTGGCCTGCAGCAGGGTAAGACAGGCTGGGTACAGTCAACTTAACTCCGCTTAAATCAGCCAGAAATCCTTGGGGAAGTACAGAAGAATGCTGAAGAAGACCAAAATGAGAGTGATGCCAGAGTGCTGGAAACCGGGTCCAGCGTCCCCTCTCCCTTCTACTTCTTCCGCTGGGAGGGGAACTGGAGCCAGACTGTTGAAGACTGTCGGAGGTTTACAGAATAGAAGGGACGAATTATGCAGGCAGCGGGATTTCAGTTAAGGAGAGCGGGTGGGGGGGGAAGGGGTCCGCGAAGTCCTGAGCTGCCCTTAATGCTTCCCCCGGGTCAACATTGGTCCAATCATGAAAGACCAACTGRTAATCTCTTTCTATCTCTAACCCGGGTTCCTCCTGTGGCCCCTTCTCCACCAAATCACTCCTARACCACTTTACCTCAGCCACCCATCCCTCCCTTTCTTTTCCCAGCCATTTCTTGCCAAAGCCAKAAATGGCTTTGTTTATGTCCCCCCAGTTGTGCATTTGGTYAAGCTTGTCTTTAACAGCCTTCCATTGGGACGCGATTTCRTGTTGGAATAGGGTCCGGATCTGTTCCATAACTTCTCCCTCTTCCACCCGCGCCCCTTCTATCTCGAGAATACATCTCTTCCACCATATAGTCCATAGGACACACCTTCTTCCCAAGCTGAACATATTCTCTTCGAAGATATTCTMCCGAATTTGCGGGTAGTGTCCCAGGAGTATAGCCCTCMAATCCCATGGCCATTCMGCACCGGGAACGATA